CTGCTGCTATCAACTAGAATAAAATCATCCTGGGGCGACCTTCTTGCGAGACATGAAGGCCACAATTTTACGCCTTACGCTTCATGCAATTTCAAACAAGATACTTTCGGGCACAGTGATCATTTTTGGCTATTAACCATACCATGGTCAACCCGAAACAAAGTGCCATACTTGCTATCATAAACGGACCTTGCTATAGGCGTACAGAGGAAAGCATCCATTATGCACCTTCCACCAATAGGATCGACCCTTCAACTCTCGGCATAGTTACACGAAGAAGTGCTTCTGCATCTTTAGCTTCAATATGAGTGAGGCAATTGTCAATGAGCAAAGAGCGCCTTTCGTATGGCATCATGGCTACAGCATATGCGAAAAATAAAGGTGCCTGTATCTCTAAATTTTACATTCAAACGAGGAGTCTTTAACAGAACAAAGTTGCTGGGCCACAAAGAGGGGGGGAACTTTAATAAAAACAATGGGTGTTGATGATTGCGATAATGTTGCTGATGAACTATTGTGGTGGGAAGTGATCAATTAATTATACAATGGCGTTCGTATGTGGTGTCTTGCGCTTCTTTGTACTTGTTGCTGGAGTTGGATTGAAACAGTGTGGCAACATTCGACGGTGCTCTGTACCATATGATAAGGGCTCTTCATTATTGCCCATTCTAACAGCCTGCTCCGCATGTTCCATTGATGATTTTGCGTTCCACACGACTTCTAGAATAGGCTTCAACTGATTGATGATCGTTCTGCACTTGTGGGTATCTTAATAAATGTCATAGTATAATCTGAAAGGGTTGCATACCTGAAATCACAAGACGTTGGTTTGGATATCTCGGATTTTTGAAGGGGCATACTCCGCAAGCTCCACAAACCAACTTTTGTAAAAGCTTCACGGAGAGATAGCTATATCAAAAGTAGCAAGGTAGCATGTATGAGTTGTGACTCATCAAGCAACATGATCAGGCTTTATCTTACAAGAATACAATATCGCTTCAATCTCATGCTCGTCTTGTTCTTTCATGGTCACAGCTTGTTGATCTCATCATTGAGCACGTGCTTCACGCCTGATGAGTTTGCGTTGCCGTTTCCCCATGTGTCGATGGTTGAAAGGATGATCACGTAGCTAGATATCATCTAAGTTATAAATCAAAGGATTCTAAATAAAGTAGCATTGGACACTTACTGGTACTCCCTATTGGAGATTTTGACAACATGTTGTTGTCTTGTTTGCCAAATTCTCTGTAGTATCGATGCCAGCGATAATTCTCTGATGCCTGAGAGATGTAGAGGATAATTAGAATATGCATATCACTATGATCCATTCATGTCGTACCAGGATCAATCCCGACAATCCTGGTAGTTTGTACATAGCCATTCTTGATCAAGACCACCTGGTTCCTTGTTTAAACAATATCGCAACACAACGACAATGACGACCACGACAACAATGAAGCACTATGAATGACCACAAAGATCAGCGCTTATTCACAGGTTGAACACAATGGTACACACAAACCTTCGCATTTGACTTGTAAGCAATCAAAATAGTATGGTAGAGGAAAGAGAGATGTGGGAGTATGGTGGGCGGCGACAACATCCTTTTATTGTGCATGGTCGGCGTGGGTACTTGTGTTTGTTGGGGATGATGCATTGATAAATTGATGCATGAGCTGATAAAGTGCTTGGGCGCAATGTTGCCGATGCATGCATTGGCCAAATTAGGGCAGGTGATACATATTCGTCAACTGCCAGCTAGCAGCCCATTCCGTTCTGCTCCAGCCCAGCATGCCCATCATTTAACTTTCTTGATTCGAGCTAACCTGGTTGTAAGGTAATGGCTGTTGTTGGATCATCATTATCATGTAAAGTGTAAAATGGCACACACCCTTTTGCTATACGTGAGGATCATCATTTCTCTTATTTACGTGTACCTATTGTCTATCGTGAGGGTGATGATGACGATGGGGATGGATGGTGTGTATAGGGTAATTGAGTGGCCTCAGTGTAATAGCAGTAGGGGGATTTAAACTTGGGGGACAGCAGCTACACGACTTGAGATAAAGCTTCTCTTCTCTTTCTCCCTCGGCTGCTTTTATCCCAATCACGACATTCCAATCAAGGTAATTGTATTATAAAAGAGTGCTCTTGTTGTTTGTGAGGTATTAATATAGTTTTGAACATGCATTGTCAGGGAGTGAGTGTGTGTCCAAATGCTGAGGAATGAGCGTCGTTGGTGGTTGGTGGTTGCCATGGCGATATCGTTGCTTCCTCTTGTTCGTTGCTAGTCCCGCTCTACGCTTGGTAAGCAGGTACATTCAAAGCCCAATGTAGCAGAAGAGCTTGTTCCATTGACTTGCTTCATGTATAGAGGGCAACTCTGGTCTCAAGATGTTGGCTCGTTTGGCGCTTTGTTTCGGCTCAACAACTCTACTACACCATCGTTTTAGGTTTCCAGTAACCAACAACAACGGGTCTTTGTGTATATGGAAAAGGCAAGTACAATGAAACAAACAATGAAAAGGGTAAAAGGGTGTTTATTGTACGTGTGTGCTAATAATGAATTGAAATAGGGTTCTTTGGTCAGGCAATGCAACTTGGGGCATCATCATCATCTCTTTGGTTCAAGTCCCAGCCTGTATCAAATGGTCGATGACGATGGGGTTTTTGGAAGAGCATGGTCACCGTGTTGAGGTAAAAAGGGATCTGCAACAGCTTGTGAATGTGTTGAACCAACATGCTCTACTTCTCGTGATAGGCTCGTTCTTTCCATTGAGAATTTCTTTTCATGAGGTGGGAAATGATTGGAAGGATTGGATTGGGGATCATTCTTTCTTTGGAGAGGATGAATGAGGACGACTATGAGCCTGGACTCTACGTAAGTGATGTCCTTCCTTGCTATGGATCGAACTGGTCTTGCGTGATTCGTGCAGTACTTTCTCAAGAACAAGGGATCGCCCGACGTTGCTCGTATGGTGGTGATTTGGTTTGTGAATCCCTTCTGATTTGCTTTCTTCTTTGGAGAGGATCGCCTAACGGTATACCAAATCGTCATCATTCCCGGCATCATATGGTCTAACTTGCTTGCTTTCTTATCTGTAGAGACGACGATTACGATCATTAGCACATTCACAACAATGACGATTGCAATGATCACCCCATCCACAACAATGACAATGATGACGACAACGAGATTCAAAAGGAAGCTTGCAAGATCCCATTCTTTTCAACTTGTGTATTATTGGATGTTGGTGTGACGGATGAGATTGAGGACTGGTGACGAGTACGAGTAGGAATGATGACGGAGGACGACTACGACGATGGTGGTGGCAATGTACAGTACATAGCAAGATAGCTAGATGAAATAAAGCATTGTTTATTTGTTACACGCTTGTTGGAGGTTGCTAGCTTGTGGATTACATACTATTGCTTCGAAGATGGAATAATAAAGGTGGTCCGGTTATCGGTCATGCAAGAAGTACATGGCTTTTGTGATACAATAAGGAGGAGTGGGAAGTGGGGTGAGCTTGAGAAGAGAAAAAGTGAAGAGATCTCTCCATTGAGTTTCAGGATGAGTGACTCATTCAATATTTATATGTACCTTTTTACATATACAAATTGGTTTATGCAGCTCGACTTTCTTCTACATGCAAATGTGATGCATACCTTGACACACCTTCATTATTGAATGCTACTTACTTACGTACCTTCACAAAAGGCAATCATCATCATCATCCATTTGTGTAGCAACCTGTCAAGGATGTGTCTGTGTAACCGCCACGTGCCGTTTCACTCAGCTCTTCATCTTTCAGTTAATGCAGCCGACACCATCCACTAGGAAAAAGCAACTCCATCACGCTTACAGCATAGATAAAACATAAACGTGCCTGTATCTCCAAACTTTACAATGAAACGTGGGAGTTTTATTAGAGCAATGGGCTCGGCTTGGCCAACAGCACCTTGTGTGAAAGTTTCACGTTCAATGTCGCAACTAGCCCAAAAAATATTTGTTTGGTCGTCGTCGTCGAAGAGGTCGACCCTCAGATCCAGTTTGGCTGGTGGCGACATTGCGAAATCTGGGATTGGCAAGCTTGATCATGAAACTTACACACAAGGTGCAGTTGACCAAGCCGAGCACATTGCTCTAATAAAGACCCCACGTTTCATTGTAAAGTTTGGAGATACAACCACCTTTATGTTTGTAAGTGTGATGCTATAAGAAGGGTGGTCTGTGTTCATTGTCAAGTAGGTGGACCCTGGCAGAGCCAAAGATGCAGAAGGATCTCTTTGGGTAACTCAGCTAAAAAGTCAGGACTTCAGGGACAATGCATGAATGGTACGCAACCCTCACTTTGATGTCATACATTGGCAGCTATAGCCACTTTTGTGCATTCCCAACTTTTGTGCATTCTATTGTAGGTGGACGATGCTCCTGCCCTTGACATTCATTTCCATGATTAAAGTAGGTTGATCCGAGCTGATTTGACTGAGCTGCGGTCAAAGAGAGATTACATCACTCTGGACATAAAGCACGCTCGATGTAGCTCAACCGATGTAATCTTGTGTGAGCGTAACTCAGCCAAATCAGCTCGGATCAACCTACTTTAATCATGGAAATGAATGCCAAGAGCAGGAGCATCGCTCACCTACAATAGAATGCACAAAAGTTGGGAATGCACAAAAGTGGCTATAGCTGCCAATGTATGACATCAAAGTGAGGGTTGCGTACCATTCATGCATTGTCCCTGAAGTCCTGACTTTTTAGCTGAGTTACCCAAAGAGATCCTTCTGCATCTTTGGCTCTGCCAGGGTCCACCTACTTGACAATGAACACAGACCACCCTTCTTATAGCATCACACTTACAAACATAAAGGTGGTTGTATCTCCAAACTTTACAATGAAACGTGGGGTCTTTATTAGAGCAATGTGCTCGGCTTGGTCAACTGCACCTTGTGTGTAAGTTTCATGATCAAGCTTGCCAATCCCAGATTTCGCAATGTCGCCACCAGCCAAACTGGATCTGAGGGTCGACCTCTTCGACGACGACGACCAAACAAATATTTTTTGGGCTGTTTACGACATTGAACGCGAAACTTTCACACAAGGTGCTGTTGGCCAAGCCGAGTCCATTGCTCTATTCAAAACCCCACGTTTCATTGTGAAATCT